CAGGGCCCTGGCTGGTCCAGCAGTCCTGCCATCTTTAATTCCCAGCCACCCGAGACTGACCCCTCACACCCTCCTCTGTGAAGCTCGACTTCCTCCATGTCTCTTCTGTACCATCTTTGTTGTCTGCTGTCTCCAAGAGGTTGCAGTTTGGCTTCAACCATGGACTCTGGGTGTCATGGGCCTCTGGTGTCAGCAGCCCCTGCAGGTGGCTGTTCTCTGGGGAGTGAAGCCAACTCTGTCGCCACCTTCAGGGACAAAACCTGTCTGAATTCTTAGTGTATCTTGGATCCCAAAATAGGAATCCTAATTTGAGTCTGTCTGGTAGTGAGGCAGTGCCACAGGATCACTGAGTAGACCTCTGCTGACTTCACATGCCTATCAGGTCTATCATAATCTAAAGAATGCATCTGTATGTGCATCAGATACATCTCTCTCATAGCTGTGCCTGATACATGTATGGCATATCACATAAATGGTGACTAAGAAAAGTAGAGTGGCTATGCTAATAAAAGTTAGGTCTTATTGTACAACCAAAAAAAATAGTGATTAAATATAAAGGAGAACAAAATATATGAGGCAAGTGTAACAAAAAGAAAAATGACAACAAAAGAAGACTCAGAATTATAGCATCAAAAATGGAAGAGGACATCAGCCCCCATTTCAGCAATACGTGCGGCCAGAAGGGAATATTGTGGATAATTAGGACAGATGAAATGGCAAATTCTAAGAAGGACTGGTGATACTGAATCAGGAGTAAATATAAACTCAGAATAAACCTATAATGACTCTAATAAAGAGATTCAATTACTAATTTTAACAAAGTCCTATAACTAAATTCCTGGATTAGGTGGTTTCATGTGGGGAGTGTATCTGGGAATTGATGATCCCTATCCATCACAGATTCTCCCAAAATTTCCCCTAATTTTCAAAAAGAGTTTTCATTCATGCGTACAGAACTGGGGTACAGGCCAGAGGTACAGGGTCAGAGAGAGGATTCCCCAGAGACAGAGCGGGGAGTAGGACAGATTGACAAAGTCCACTGCTGAGGGGAGCAGCGGGGAGACAGGGGAGGTCTGCTGCACCATGTGGGTCACTCCCTGGCGGGGGATCGAACTTGTGCTAAAGCAGCTGTGGCGAGCTTTGCAGTACTGCATTTGAACCCATTGTGCCACCAGAGAGGGCCCAATTTCCCCCAATTTTTTAAGGCCAACATTACCCTGGTACTATAAATAGAAGATACTACAGGAAAATTGCCAGTCAGTATTCCTTATGAGTATAGATGCAAAAGTCATCAACAAAATGGTAGCAAACTGAACCTAGCAGCCTGTGAAAAGAATTATTTACCATGACAATGTTGGCTTTGTCCCAGGAAATTAAGATTCTCCTTAAATATAAGATATAAGATAAAATACTCTTGATATAAGATAAAATACGTATCTTAATATATATTATATGAGAAAAGGAATAGTCAGTGTTGGAAAGGGAGGGACAATTATCATCTCAGTAGATGTAGAATGAATGTTTTGCACAATCCAGCACCCTTTGATGAGTTGTTTTTTTTTTTTTTTTAATGTCAGCAAAACAGGTAGAAGCAAACTTCCCCAACCTGATAAAGGCAATGGATGAAAAACCCTCTACTAACCTCATTCCTAGTGGTGAAAGCTGGGCTGTTTTCACCTAATTTATGACAGGGGTGTCTGCTCTTGCCGTTTTTATTCGGTGTTATTCTGGGGGCTCTACCAAGGGCAATCATGTCAGTAAAAGAGAAAAAAGACACCCAGATAGGAAGCAGAAGTAAAACTAGGCCCCCTGGTGGCACAGGGGTTAAAGTCTCAGCACTGTCCAGCTATCTGCAGACACTTAGCAAAGTGACTTTGATCCCCGGCCAGGGAGTGACCCACAGGGTGGAGCAGACCCCTCCTGGCTCCCAGCTGCTCCCCTCAGCAGAGGATTTCAGTCCATCTGCCTGTTCTGCTCCCCACTCTGTCTCTGGTGACTCCTTCACACCCCCTCCCCCACCCTCTGTTCTGCTCCCCAATTCTTGCATGCATAAATAATTTTTTAATCCACATCTTTAAGGTGGCATATATATATTTTCCCTTTGCCATTATGTCCATCTACACACACACGTTCTCCTGTGCTGTCAGATCATACTACGCGGAAGGATTTCATCCCACAGCGACCTGAGTCTCTAATAAGAGCAGCCTATGTCTCCATGATCATAATCAGTCGTTTACTTGGTAAAAACTGTGGAAAGTGCAGCAGGTACCCGGCACGGTGTCGTCGCCCTGGCACAGCCCAGAAATAAGCAGATACAGTTGCTACTATCACAGCACTTAGAGCACAGCAAGAACAGCACCGGCAACAGACCAGCAACCGTGTAACTCCCTGTTGACTGTCCTGTGAGTCCTGAGACTGCTTAGGAGCCCGGCGCAGGGCTGCGAGGCTACTGGGCGTGGAGAGGGAGCCCGGCGCAGGCGCCCCTCCCGGGCCCGAATGCGGAGCCTCGTGCCAGGCACCAGGAGGCCTAGGGCAGGTGGACACAGGCCGAGGGAGCGGAGCGTGGGTGAGCCGGCTTTGGGGTTGGGGTGAGCTGTAGGAGGGAGAGAACCCGCGACCATGCAGGGGAAGGGTTTGTGTTGTGCGGAGTGGGATGCTGAGCTCCTACTGAGAGCATCAGGAGACAATTAATAGGGCAAGGGGTCATCAGGTTTGTGGGGTTCTTAATGCATAGAAGAACTGGGGTGCAGGCCAGAGATGGGGGTTGAGAGGATTCACCAGAGACAGAGTGGGGAGCGGAACAGGTGAATCTCCTGAAATCCACTGCTGAGGGGAGCAGCCGGGAGACAGGAGAGGTCTGCTGCGCCACGTGGGTCACCCCAATGCTGGGGATGGAACTCATACTGAAGTGGCTGTGGCCAGCTTCCTAATGCTGCATTTCAACCCACTGCACCACCACGGAGAGCTGCAAAAGGGGTTCTTATTTAAAACCTCTTTTGAAGGAATGTTAATGTCAATTATTAAGCAATTCTTTTTTAATATAATAGTTTATTTTTACATCATTTTGTACTTTTTTTTCCATCTCAATTGTAATCCCCGTGGGTGTCCCATCACCAAGTCACCCATGTGCCATCAGCATTATTAAGTAATTTTACCATTTAAAGGTTAAAGAAAAGGTATTCGTTGAGATGGGAAGTATAAAAATTAACCTAAAGGGGCCCCCCCTGGTGGCCCAGGGTGAAAACGCATCACTATGAAGCTGTCCGCAGCCACTGCAGCTTGAGTTCGATCCCCAGCCTGGGAGCTGCACCACCGGGTGCAGCAGACCTCTCCTGTCTCCCCGCTGCTCCCCTCAGCAGTGTGTTTCAGTCAGTCTGCTTGTTCTGCTCCCCACTCTGTCTCTGGTGAGTCCTCTCACCCCACACCTCAGTTCTTGTGTGCATACATAAAGAAATCTTTTTTAAAAATTAACCTAAAACTCAGTTAAATTATTTTTTTCTTCCCTGACTATTGATAGATAGGTCTTAGGTTATTTATGGATGCAAAACATGCCACCCTAAAACTGAGCGACTTGAAACAATAATAATAATTTCTGTTGCTCATAAATCCACTACTGGACTCCGCAGGAAGGTTTGCCTGTACTCTGGGACAGCTTGGCTGAAGGAGCTGCTTCTACACTTGCTCACTTAACACAGCTGGGCTGAGGTGGTCATAGTGTGACACATAGAGAAAGGGGAGGTTCTGGTTTCCCTGCCCCTCCCAAGGAAGGGTGGAGCTGAGCAGGGAGGAGAAGCTGGAAAAGACTGGGAGAAGGACTTGGAGGAGGCCGATGAGGAGAAAACTTGGAAAAGGCTTATGGAGTGGAGAAACATATGAAGAAGAACCTGTGCTTCTTGGCCTTGGGCTTGTACCAGGGGCTCGGAGACGCGGAAGGAGACCTTTGAAAGAGTTGGGGTGACAGACCTGTGGGGAGGCTGACAGTGGCGGCTTATTTTTTTTAAGATTTATTTATGTATACAGAATTGGGAGTACAGGCCAGAGGTGGGGGTGTGTGTGTGAGAGGATTCCCCAGAGACAGAGTGGGGAGCAGAACAGGCGGATCTACTGAAATCCATTGCTAAGGGGTGCAGGGGGAGGCAGGAGAGGTCTGCTGCACCCTGTGGGTCACTCCCTGGCTGGGGATCGAACTTGTGTTGCAGGGGCTGCAGACAGCCTCATAGTGCTGCGCTTAACCCGTTGCGCCACCAGGGAGAGCCCGGGATTTATCTAAACTTGTCTTTTGATTTTGCTCCTTTCCTCCTGAACGTGCCTGGCCCCTTCTGTTCCTTTCCTTTGGGTCCCACCAGAAGATGCCTTAGACCATGGCAGCTTTCCTGCCCCAGTGGTCCTGCTTTGGCCCAACCCTATTTGACTGGGCATTTGCTGGTCAGGAGACGGCCAACACTGGGTGTTTCTGGGGAAGACTTTAACAAGTCTTCTTTTGTATTTAACTATCTAATTGTACTAGAAATTTAATACAGTTGTATCTAACTGTATTAAAGTTCTTTTTAGTGGCAGCCTTATGCCCTACAGTGTGTTTTGTCTCCATGCTGCAGATGCCAGAAACCATATAAAGCAGGCAGGTTTGGGGGTCCCAGGGAGCTCCTGAGCCTTCCTGCTAACAATGGATGCACTTCGGAGTGCATCTATGGAGGAGAGGACCCCTGGCTCCTGATCTCTGTGTGTGTGGGGGGAGGGGTTAAACACCTAACTTGCAGGTACAGCTGGCCTAATCACACCTGTACTCAACAGTCCTTTCATTTTGGGCTCCCCGAGGGTTCGTTCTCTTTATATCACCGCAAACACCTGAGCACAAATTGAAATGGTGCGCAGCTGCTCAGCTCTTTCTTCTACTGTTATAATGGGGTGGATCCCCGGAAAAAGGGAGGTTCCAGGTTGTCTGCTCCACCCTGCTTTCCTGAAATTCTAACACTTGGTCTCACCATCTGAAGAGCAGATGAGACTACAAATGTTCTGGCTATTTTTAGAACACGCAGTCTGCCACAGAAGGCTTTGAAAATACTGCGTTAATTAACAAGGAAACCGAATTTGAATAAAGTGCCTATCTGATAGCTTATTACCACTTGCTGTATTTAAACTACACTGAATTTAGTCAAGTTACTTAAATAAACTAATAAGGTGTCGTAATAGTATCCAAAACAAGTGATGCTTCTCTTGACTACAGGCCGTCCGAATGATCTCAGGAAGCACCAGTACTTAAAATGTGGACAAGCCGCCTCCATTTCAGGCAGAGACTGAGCAAAGTGATTTTTTTACTATGATAATTGGCCCCCGCGGGCTTCCTGCCTGGACTACATTTCCCAGCAGGCCATGCTCAGAACTACGAGTGCCTGCGTGAGGTCCAGCGCCGTTGGCGGCGGCGCAGACGCCGTAGTGGGGGGTGGTGGCTGACGGGCGGGCACTCTGCGGTTTGAATGGCTGCGGGCCCGGGCGGTCCGCTCACCTGAGGACCGGCCGCTCAGGGTGCGTGATGCCTTCGGGAGGCGACCAGTCGCCGGCGCCGCCGCCTCCGCCGCCGCCGCCGCCGCCGCCGGCCGCCGCCTCGGATGAGGAGGAGGACGACGACGGCGAGGCGGAGGACGCCGCGCAGCTGGCCGGCTCGCCGGCCCCTCAGACCCAGCAGCGGTTCGAGGAGCTGTGCAGCCGCCTCAACATGGACCAGGCGGCGCGGGCCGAGGCCTGGGACAGCTACCGAGCCATGAGCGAGAGCTACACGC